GGAGAGATTGCCATTCGCTCGCTCTTTCTCCCTCTCTCGGTTTCTTTCTTTCCGCCTTTTTTACTAAGCGAACGAATCGACTTTACGCCACGTTCAACGTGGCGCCGATTGACTGCGCACGGGAACGATTAGTTTTCCATTGAACGCAGCGTGCGATACAGTGCGAAAGTCTGACCGTCGAAACAAGCCGGATTCAGTTGGAGCCAACCTGAGCCAGCGTGGAAAAAGTTTCAACCCAGCTAGCCGAACTATCTCCAAATCCGTCGGAACTTGACCGGTCAACTCATTTCAGACTCAATTTGGACCAGTCTGATATGAAGTACGAACTTCAGTGCCATCAGAATGACGCGGAGGGTTCCAGGGTAGCTCACATTCTGCATTCTACAAGTATCTCACCGTCGCACCGGATGCCCGCTTGCGAGAGCTTCTTCGCTGAACTATCATTTTTTCATAACGCCTCGCCCGCTAGAAGCTGTAAAATTATCAATTCATTCGGTATTCGGTTCGAAACGTGGAGGAGCAGCTCGCTGAGGAAAACCTTTCTCTCTCCTTTTTCCCCATCGCTCCCGACCGGAAAGTTCTCGGCGCCCCGATGTAGCGAGAAGAGAGAAAGCTCGTTCCAGATCGGCCGGAGGAATTTGCCGTTACAAAAATAATACGGTGGAAAATGCGGCGCGGCGGCAGTGTATAAAAAGCCGCTCTTATTTCGAGCCTTTCTGCGACATATCCGAGGCTCGTGAAAATCCTCGAGGGACAGACACTCTTGCCGAGGCGTCTCCTTATTAGTCACGCTAAATTGCCGCGCTGTAAACATTTTCCAGCAGACCGATCGGGGGCTGCAACCCGATGCTAAAAATATACGACCGCGCAACCGGCCGCGCTACCGACGTCCGCTCTCCTTCGTGGTCGCGGATGATTGTCGACTCATTACACGGAACAGGCGCGTTGTATTCCCCGCTGATAACGACGGTGAATAGGAAGTGCGGCGTCTCCTCACGTCGGCGAAGTCGCCGACGCTTTCGCTTTGTCAAACTGCCATTCGTGACTTGTTGAGCGGTCTTACGTTAATCGACGTTACACGAGACGTCTCGGGCGCGGAAGTTCGCTCCGCGCTGATCGGCCGCGATCAATCAGTTTCAGCGATTACGTGTTTCCTCCCGCGGGGAAACACAGTCGTGTTGTTTCGCCGCTGGCGCGATAATTGGAGCGCGTAGCGGAATGTTGCTTTTCAATTAAGCAGGCTAAACGAAACATACGTGTGTGTCCGCACATATTAAGCATCTGCCTGCCGCATGTTGCCCGTTCTCTCTCGCGACAGCGCGTTTTTCTTCCCCGCGGGCCGCCGCGGTCGCCCCGCTACTTCGGCAAATTTCGCATTCTCTCTCCCTTGCCCGACATGCAAAATTTATTTATCTCGGCCGCTGAGCGCAACAGTCTATTTTTAATCCTTCGTTATAACGGCAGTTTAATGTAATCGTGAGATATGTCGCTGTGTGCGAACTACGTGTATCGCGCCGGCGAGAGTGGAGTTACACGCCCATGTAAATATACAACTTCTGGCGTTGCTGCACGCGCGAGAGAGAGAGGAAGAGAGCGCCAGGAAATTCTTCACATATGACCTTTTATGCCTGCCAGGCTATTCCACAAACTTAAAATCGCGTCCATTTATTTCCGCTTGCGCGTATTTTAAAATACGATTCTCCCTTGACTCGCCTGCTCGCTCGAAAAATAAAATGACAGCGAGAGACGGGAGGCAGAGAGACAGAGAGAGAGAGAGAGAGAGAGAGAGAGAGAGAGAGAGAGAGAGAGAGAGAGAGAGAGAGGAAAACAATTAAAAAATTAACAATTAAAAATTAAATTTATACCTTCCAGAGCTTCCGGAGTGCGACGTCGAGAGCTTTCAATATCGATAGTTAAACAAAAGCTACGCAACGGCGAGCAAAGTTACTAATTTAATCACCCGATTGCGTCGGTGGTAGAAGTCGACTCGTAGAAGTCGCGTCGCAAATTTACACCCTCCGAAGATATCGTCGTCGTGAGATTCTCCTTCTGAAAATCCCGATCGTCGCTTTAGTAATAAAGTTACAAATAAACTCTCCGGCACCGCCGGCGCGGCAGTGACGAAGGAGCACTTTCATTTCGTATTCCGCGCAGGGGCGATAATGGCGGATCAACGCGGCTTCCGGACGTATCCTAATAAAGGGTACGATCGGAACTTTCCAAGGCGACCTTGGAATGTCATATTCAATATCTCCGGAACGAAGTCGAGAGGGAGCAAGTCCCTCTCGTTCGGACGGCTCTTCTGTGCTCTTCGTGACACAGTCAACTTTAACTGAAGCGCTGCGCGCTCGCATTCCGAGATCCCCCCCTCCCCCCCCCCCCCATTTGCCTCTTCTTCTCTCAAGCCGGAGAGACTCTTTACCGTTATGCTACACGGAGCTGTTCGCGAAATTGACGTTAATGCCGACTTCTCAGTCAGCTCTCTCACCGGCGCGCGGAATCACCGCCGCCGCTGATACAGTGGCGAAAGCCCGGTGAAATTTATACGTCTGTTGAAAGCGCCTCTTCTTCGAGTTATGAGATTTTACGCGCCTTCGCGAATCTCCGTAGAACAGGTCGCGTGCAATTCTTGGCTCGCTGTCAGCTTTGTTCGCCTAAAACTTCCGGAAGCGTTGGAAGGACTCAGAACTTGGAAAAGCCTCGCTTTTCCGGACACATGTTCGCGGCAACTTTCGCCGATCCCTCCGGCGAGCGAGCGGGGATGGGACTAGAAAAATATTTAGCAGCAATTTGCTAACGCCAGTATAGCCTGCCGACGTGTACATCGACCTTGTTTATTATATTGCCTACAGTCTCCGGAGGATATTCTCGGACGAGAACACGTCTTTTCCCTGCTTCTTCCTCGCCTTTTTCCTTCGTCTCCGTCCCGTTCTTTCTCTCTCTCTCTCTCTTTCTCTCTCTCTCTCTCTCTCTCTCTCTCTCTCTCTCTCTCTCTCTCTCTCTCTTTTATTCTTCCCCCCTTAACGTTTACTTCAGCAATCTCGCGTAGGGCTTGCAGAGCGAGCGAGTTAGACAAGTAATTCGATGTGCTGCTCGTTTTCATCTCGTTTTATAAAATATGTAGTCACCAGCACGAGCGAGGGTTGTTCCTTTCATTAAGTTACGTTCTATGTTCTTTCTCTCTCTCCCACTTTTTCTTTCTTTAAGGGCGGCTTTTGCAAATGCAGATTCCGTCGAGCCGAGCCCCAGCGGAACGCCGTGCTGAAAGTTTCCACCCGCCTCGTTCGGCCTTGCGACTCGCGGTCGCGAATTTAACGTGTCCTCTTTGAAACGAAAGACCGGACGAATTATCGCGGTGTGGTGGAACGCGAAACGAGCCGCGATTAACGAACGTTCCGGAAAGTTGTGAACGCGCCGCGCGCGTTGCTCGCGGCGTGCACGGCGCGTTGACGCACGAAAAATCTCTCCGACAACGCTTCGCAATTTCGCTGCAATTTGCTAAGAAATTAGATCGTATTACGTCAAAGCCGGGGGAACAGAGAATGGGAGAAAAAAATAGAGATAACTACGCGAATTTCCCCTGCAGTAGAGTGAAATAGTAATCCACAGGATTAAACAAAAACAAGAGTGGATAATGAATTTCATTATTTGCCTTCAAAAGGGAAAGGCGGTATGGAAAACGAGACAGAGAAGGAATCTGACAAATTTCAATTAGAGAGACGTGCTGAATTTTCCGGATTACGTGCCGCTTTCCCCCGGAGAATCGCAAAGTACGATCCAAAGGAAGTTTGGCACTTTTAAAGGCGACCGGATTCACCTCTCGGAAAATAGCTGCAAGTGGCTCGATCAACGTCTCATTAATATCACCGTATCAATCAATCAATTAACATACAATGTAAAGTGCTTGCGCACGCGCTTTCAATCTTCGACGCTGCGGGAGCGTGTTTTTAGAAGCTGATTAATCGAAGCCTCATCAATCAACGTGTATGATTAATTAAGGATCGACTGGTCTTCCTTCCAGCGGGAACTTTAACGGCAACCGAAGCTGACGCGCAAGTATCGGCGAATCCAAGCCCGAAACTTAACGGGGGCAACGGGGATGTGCGATATACCGCACGAGACGCGTTTCGCCTTTCTCGAGTGTCCTTTTCCCGCGGCCGATTCTATTTCCCCGTCGATCTCCTGCGGCAGCGCGTCATGGGACGGCGTTCCACCCTGTCACGCCGGCGAGCACTTTCGCCAGCCGAAATCGCATCGCTTAGCCGCTTAATTAATACTGGAGGAGACGCGCAGGAAGTCGACACGCGGAGCACGCAGGATATACCCGCCGACTATGAAGCGTTTATCGCGCACAGCGTACCAAACCGCGCATACCCTGCGATGTGTGCGCGGCATATTACTACCGGCGCATTCCTTCGTGCGCGTCGTCCTCCCGAAATTGTTAATTTTCCGGGGAGAGACCAGCCCCCCTCCGCCCCCGGCCGCGGCGGACCGCGCTTTTTGCCCCCTCGAAGTCGCGATTAATATGCGAGCGATTAATTCCAAATGCGAAACCACGATGAAGAAGTTGAGGTCGCCTCTCAGGCCGCCGCTGGATTCTCCGCCGGAAATCCCCGTTTCCGCTAATTATTATTACGATCTTCGGATCTAACACAGCGAGAGAGGGGGGATCCCGACGTCGGCGATTCTCCTCCTTCCAGCGGCCGGCTTGCTGGCGCCCGGAGTTGTTGGCCACGAAAGTATCCGTCAAAGAGAAATTTACGCACACACATATACATGCACACTCGCGGGCCAACGGCGCAGCTTATGCTATGTCTCGAGAGAGTTTCATCCAAAGCTGTCTCTCGTTAAGCTCTGTAATGCTCGGCGACGCGCGTACAGTGGCGAGCGACACCTTAACAGGTAGCTCTCTTCCGGCACGCAGGAGGCACCCCCTGCGCAATAAGAACGAACGCGCGGTTCTCGGCATTTCGCGATGCTACTACGCTTGATATACTCACGGGACGATCGCTAACGACGGCATTTAAGTCGCGTCTCTTCGCTGCATCTTCCTACTCCCGCACGAGAATCCATTGAGGGGGGACGCACCGACCCCCGCAGGTCCCTTCGGTCGCTGCGAATGAGAGGAGGCTCTCATTCAACAAGGACGGCGCGAGACCTCTGGAGAGCGCCACATGTTCTAACAGTGTCGCGCGACTCGACGTGTCCCGCGAGAAGACGGAAGACGGGGGAACGGGGTGCCCTGTTTTCAACAGAGAGCGACGCTCGTCTTCTCCGCTCGTCGAGCTGAGACGAAGTTTCGCTCGCGGTCGCCGAGTCCACGGACCTTTCGTTCAGCGTGATTTCTTCAGCTCGACGGAGCGCACATGTCCCGTGGCGCTCTTCCGCGTGTCGCAAGCACCCCCGACGGGTTGCGGTCATGCTCCATCTTCCCCTCCCCCCCCCCCACTAGCACTCCCGCGGCTCCGTTGTCGCGCCACGAGGAGAGACGAGACGCTCCGGAGTGGCACGCGACGACGACGACGACGAGCACGAGCAAGAGTTCAGGACGTGGACGAGAATGAAAGTGACACGCGCCAATATCAGGAGCGGATGCCGAACGCTTCGGCGCTCGGTATCGAACTGACTGAGCAGCCAGCCAGCTCTGGCCAGCTCACTCCTACTCTCGCGGGACGCGACGCCGCGTTATCACGACGAAGAGCGGCGGGCGAACGCGAGTCCGTCCCGGGGAAGTCGAAAGCAGCACCAGCGCGCGCGCCAGCAGCACCAGAGGGTAGACCACATCACCCCTACCTACCCTTGCGCCCAGAGAGGCGAAGGGAGAGAGCGAGAGGGAGCGAGGAAGGGTGGGAGGACGAAGCGGGAGGGAGAGGGAGAGAGGGTGAGAGAGGCTCACCATCGCCGCAAACTTTTCCCCGGCTCTGTCGTCCTACATCCGAATGATCGTTTCTCTGTCGCTCTCTCTCTCTCTCTCTCTCTCTCTCTCTCTCTTTCTCCCTTGGTTCGTTCGTTCACTAGGACAACCCGCGGATCGGAATTGAAACCGGCTTGATTGGGTGCTGTCGCCCGTGCGAAATGGGACATGCATCGGCGGTCCCGTGTGGTCAGCGTGCGCACCTCTTCGAGGTCTCCTCCTCTGGGTTGGTCCACCGAGTTCGGGTTCTTGTGTATACTGGAGTACATGTTTTGCTCCTTTCGCAGCTGCTGTGGTCCACGAGACCTTATAAGGTTTTCGGCATTTTGGGGCGCGGAGAGATTTACTTGACGCAAAAATGCGTACGCGAACAGGAATACGATATCAGTCGTGTACGCTCCTACGCTGTGCTGTAAAATTCAACTTTTTTTTTGTGAATTATGCTTTCATCGCGTTCTTATTTTGGTTTTTGCGCACGTTCCAGTGGTATACAAGCATGCGCTGCACCGACGCGCTTGCGATTTTTATCTCTTTCTGGAGAAGTCGTGCTTTGATTCCGTGGACTTTTATCCCATCTCATGTTTAATACTCCTCTTTTAACGAAATAAAGATTATAATAAAGGATTTATCGTATTTTTTTATTATCCCTCATATTATTTTTTTATCATCTCTTATTTATTAATAATCTTCATAAAAATTGCTGCATGCATATGATTTTATGTGAATTTCATAAAAGCTGGTTTACGATAATAATTTAACAAACATTTAACAAAATCTGATTTTTAATAAAGAAAATATATTTCGTTTAATTTTTTGGTCTAATAAAGAAATAAAACATTCCATTTTGTAAATATGACGATACACAAAAGCTTTAAAATATACCTAGATTAATTTTTCATGAATTGTTTGTTTAATTTTCCATCTGTTGTTTGGCTGTCATAAAAATTTCACTTGGACGCTATAGATAAAAGTTTCCTGGAAAGATATAACGAGAATCTAATGTACATCTACCGTGTACGAGAGAACCGAGGAGGGGAATGTTTTCATTCGTTTTATATAGGTATATCAGCGATAAATTGTTCACAGGAACGTATCATTGATTGGAACGAAAGTTGCAAATCCAATCGAGGCTGGGTGGCCATCAGCCATGAAATCAATACACGATGGGAAGTCCAACTGTTAACGTAAGCGTGAAAAGTGTTCGAAGAAAATCGGGACGGTTATTCTTCATGAATAACCTAGATTACGGCGAAGTCGAAGGAAGTATGAACGAAGAAGAGAGAGAGAGAGAGAGAGAGAGAGAGAGAGAGAGAGAGAGAGAGAGAGAGAGAGAGAGAGAGAGTATAGAGCTTGCTAGAGTGTGCCGCAGTACACTAGAATTATGAACAACCTCAGGCCAAAAAAGTGCGGAATATCTTGGCTAAGCCATGGCACGTCATACTAGTTAGCCTACGCGAATTAAAGTGCGAATTAAAGCTCGATAAATTTTCCGAAAAAAGCCTATTTCATCAGAATATCCGTGTTTAAGCGTTCGTTTTACCACAACGTAAAAAAAATCTACGGACGCATCGCTCGAATGTCATTCAAAATATATTCTGTGACGTTTTATTAAATTTTAACCGAAACAAGTTATCGACTGACACTAGCTCATCTATAACGCGCGACGGAATTCAGGACAGAATTTCGTTTGTAATTTTATGTATTTTGCGTAATGTAGGAAATATTCGGAGGATTTTCATCTACAAATGTTGCAGTATGATGGAAGCTGCACGCTATAAATTTCTAATTCCGACCCATTTATAAGTACGAATTCGCTTTTCCGAGTACCTTTTCACAAATAAGGTGAGCTCTGTATTTTGCCATGCGAATTGCAGATCCTCTAAAGTGAGATTGAAAGATAAAGTTTCCAATTTTTAATTAAATTTAAATATTGCTCAGACTGACTGGAAGCTCGCTTCGCCCGCTGAAATAACGCGCACGACGATTGTTTCTTTCGTCAACATGGACGCACGGCAACCGATTTAATAGACCTCTGTTACTCTCCTCTCCTCATCCTCATTGCAAGTCCCTCCATTTACTGTCAGATATCTGACGAATTGGAATTGAATCTGACAATCTGATTGGGTGCCATCGACCGTGCGAGACAAACTGTGCGCTAGCTTCGGCGATGCGTATAATACATTTGGAGCGGTAGGATTTTCTTTTTTTAAAGCCGCGAGTGATAACATTTGAGTAAATCGCGCCGAAAAGATCCCGGATTTGCGAAGACGCGCGCGAATCGAACTTCTGTATGAAGAATTTCCACAGACACCTCTTGGAAATTTAATCTATAATGTATTTTTGCGCTGTTATTGCACTCCGACGAAAGTTGAAATTAATATTTGTCGCCGTGTATCTTCTCGTAACGTCGATATGGCAAAATGAAATATACGAAGGTGAATCGCGAGAAGCCTGTCTCGAAACTACCGCGCGATCCGTTCTAAGGAACTAAAACATTTCTCGCTGTATGTGTGCGCCGTCTCCATATAACAGTGTCATATTCTTTCTAAACTTTTCGTCTCCTCCTTGTTTCTGTCGATCGTTCGACATCGAATTTCGTCGTCGATAATTCACGGTTCAGCCGATATTACATGCATCATAAATTGTGGTCATCTGTGTAATGGTACTTTTGTCACAAGAGAGAGGACACATTTCATAGTGTCAAATACAGCGGAGCGTTACCTTTGTTAAAATACACGAGAGACTGTTCAGTTTATTATTTTCCACTCGATGCGACCGTGCGTTGTGATGTAACAGTTGCAAACTATTACCATGTCGTTATATGTAATTGCGTCAATATCATCGCCGGATTAAACGAAACGTTGCGCAAACGTTTCAGTGTAAATAAAAAGGAAATGTCCTCTCATATACAAATCTGTGAGAGTAACGGCGAGTTTTTAAAGCTTACCAGACTGGATAAAAATGTGACTTATCTCCGAGGGTTTCGAGCGATCCATCTTAGTTTTACGTGACAAATTTTTCAGGCCCGAAAGTATGTATATACAAAGACGGATTTAATACGGATTTTTCTCCTTCTTATTTCTTCCTTGCCCGTCCATCGATCCTTACAATCGGTATTCCTCGTTTACCGGAGCATATCGCGAATTGGAATTGAATCCGACAGTGGGATTGACCTCCGTACGATCATACAAAATAAAATGTGTCCAGGGAATACGAACCGTGAGGGTGGAAGATCGCATTTGTGAATGCCGGATGTGGTTCTTGAATAAATCATCAAGGCTCGCTGATCGGAAATAGCCGTTGTTTCTATGCGGAACATTCGTGTCGCGGAAGCTTAACGCATGTAAAGCTCAACAAAGCCCGGGACGAAATTTTATTTTTAATTTTACGCACCGTGCGACACAGAACACTGAACGTTTTGTATACACGTATACGTAAATATATATACGTATAAATAAAATATCTGCAGCAATATATGTATCTACGCATACTCGTATATATATATCTACGCGTATAAGTCAATATATATCCATTATAAATACATACCTATAGATAAATAAAAGTATACGCATTTATAAATGTAATCCTGGCTCGTCAGGTGTTTCCAGGCTGATAAAACGTCATTCCGAATTCTGTTGTGAGATGCAAATGGTCGAGAGTGTGCTTCAACCTTTTTCCTCAATATATAAAAAGCTTCAAAATTACAGCTGCGAGATTAAAAATTTACTTTGTCAGTAGGATTCACAAAAGCGAGCAGGAAAATGTCCGTAATGCGCAAACTGATGAGAAAAGCAAACTCGTGAGAAAAAATGCTCATGCCTTAAGAAATAAATAATATAAAAATTAAATTCTTTATAATAATTGAGCATGACGTCTCTCAGTACAAAATTCAAAGCGTTGACAACTCGGCTCACCCGCCCTCAAGCCGCTCGACCGGTAAAAACGGAGATATCGACGAACGCATCGAATCCTATTCTCGATCGCCTCGCGGCCGATCAGCGGCCTAGCGGAGCGAGCGACATCTGTACTGTAGCACGCGAACGAGAGCCAGATGAATGGGCTACGCATTCAGCGGCCAGACGACCTTGCGGGTGGGGGCTGGGCCGCGTAGTAATTGCGTAACCGAGTACGTGACGGAATGCGGCACATGTTTACTTCCGCGACAGGTGGAGGGGGCGGTCGCCACGCGGTCGTTCCCCCCGCTCGCGCATTGGCTAAGGCCGGTTTGCTTACCGAGCGCGAGCGAAACGAAGAGCCGTAACTCGCGGCCGGATGAGCGTAGAGACGCAGAAGAAAATGTGACCATCTCGGCGCGCGATCCCGCGTACGTTCTTGATAATATCTTCTTGGCAATTTGGAGGATAACAGCGGCGAAACATCGGGATAGATTGCAGTTGAAGAGCTTCTCAGCCGACGCAGGCTTCTTCGCTCGCGACGGAACCGTTTAGCTACTTTCTTACCGTCTTCTCGACGGTAAAAGTAACAAATGTTGCTGTGCATTGCAATTGCAATATGGGGTGATTTGTGGGATGGAAACTTATCTGTTGTCGTAATTCGATCGTCCGGGAATGGAGAGAATTAGTTCGCCCGATTGCTTCGCGGATGTGAAGACTTTACCGCTTGTCTTGCTGAGATTTATTTCACCTTGCTTTCTTTACGAAGTTGCCTTTATTTATAAATAATTCTGAAAGGGATTGCGTATCATTTTTAATAGTGTGCAATATTTAAGGAGGGTGTCGCACACGCAACGAGGCTAACACATTCGTCGGATCTTCCTAAATGTTTTACGATTCGCTGGAAAAATAATCCAAATAGCCGCCGTTCCATCCCGTTGACGTGCGAAACGGGCGATTTCGTTCTTTTGTTAACTTAACGCTGTGCGCTCCAGTCGCTCATTTCTATTCTCGCGGGTAAACACGATTTGAAGTTTCGGCCGTTTCCAGAGGATATCGATGGCCCCGTTGCTCGTTAGAGAATGTGTTTTCCACATGTGTTTTCGGACGATTGGTAGCCGACGTCCGTCGTACACGCCAGCGGGAGTTTTTCGCGCGTATACTCCAAGTTCGTGGCCCTGACGTTGAAGAATTTCGGTCGTACAAACCGGGCCAAGGGCGTAGTCATTACGTTACCAGGATCGGCTCATCGCGTGAGATGCCGTCGTCGGCCGTCTCGATATTACGAGGAGAGAGTTGCTCTTCGACGAGATCTCTTCGACGTTGTTTCTTTATTATTATCCCTGCCTCGACTTACTCATTTCGTTTCAGCGTGGATTTACATCTCCGAAGATACCGATACCTCGAGATACGAGCGAAATAACGCATGCTTTTGCACCCCCCCCCCACCCCGGGTCCATTCGCGGTCGAAACATAACTCCATCGCAGCGGGGGATTTTATGGCGCTCGAGCGGATTAATTTCGTTCGAGTTCTACGCCTCACGGAAAACACGTTAACGGCTTACTCACGTGGGATTCGCGGTTAATACTTCCGCCAGCCAGTAATTGGAACGCATACATTATCCGCATTTGCGATCATCACGGGCGAGAGCGTAATATCCGACAACAGCGCGTCACGCTCGGTCGTGAACATGCATATGAGCGCGTCAGATTATGCCGGCGTATGCGTTACGCGCGAATCCGCGCGAGCGCGTTCGTGCGCGGATTTGCATGCGTATCTCATAGTTGTAAAATTAAGGCCGACGTTTGTTAGGAGCTCTCCGCTCGATCATCGCTTTGTGACCACCGAATCTCACGCGTTCGACGATCGCGCGGATTACCGCGCCGTCACGCGCGCGCGCGTTGCTGATAAACCGATTAAACAGCGAGTTAATTCTCGCGCGAATTTATTTGTGCGTTTAGCCGGCGTTTGACGGGAGTTGATTCCCCCCGCCATGTCCAACGCGCGAATCGCGATAATGTCATCTTATCGTCGGTCGCGCGGACTTTCTTCACCGACTTTTTCACCGAATCCTGTATAGCGCTCGCTGTTGGCTGCAAACTGCGGGCGAGGGCGGGACTCCCGTCGTCCTGTGGCAATACGACGGATGAAAAAGTTGCTTAACGGTTCCCCGCGTCATTACATTACCGATTCGAGTGAAAAGGGTTTCTCGGGGGAGTATTCTCGGAAGTATCGGGCGATACCCCGAGTTGTTCGCTATGCGAAGAGCCCCGCCGTTATGAGCTTGCGAAAAGCTCTCTGGGAGAAGACTGTTATTTTTACGAGCGTGCGTGCATGAATCAAACCGAGTCGCCTCGTGAAATTCATTGATCGCTGGCTCGATAAGAGGATGCGTAATGAACGAATAGACGCATATAACGATCAAAGGACCGTTTGCATCGAAGCGGTTAACAAGCATCGCGGGAAAGCTGCGACGATGGGGTAACGCGCCCTTTAAAGAGGAGGAGGTTAAAGGAAAGCCCGTGACGGAAACGAGACGAGTTTGCGAGCTGCTCTCTCCCTCGGAAAAGCTCCTCGCTCACTCGCACGTCAGAGAAACGGGGCTGCTGCGTCCATCTAGCGAGAAAGGAACAGAATCTCATTTCCCGTAATCGATACATTACACAGATATCCGGCCTGGCCCGGCGAATCTTCCGCTAGCTTGCTCTGTAACCATGTTTGTGCGTTTTTGCTTTGTGCCTCTATCTCGCGAACGGGCATATTATCAGTCCAATGGGCAGCGCGCTCAAGGAAACGTCTATTCGCCGAAGTGGCGTTGAAAATCTACTCGAAACTTTCTATTCTCTTCTTCTCTCCTCCCCCCCCTCTCACTCTCTCTCTCTCTCTCTCTCTCTCTCTCAATCGCGACACTCGTAATTCTCTCTGTCAAGTCTTTTCACAGGACAGCAGACAGAAAATGTCCCTCGCTTCTTGCAAGGGAAAGCTCGTGTATGATATTACAAGGATTGAGGGATTTATTTTCGGATAATTTGACTTTTCATTTGCCGTTACGAGATCGCAAATGGGTTAGAAGTATTTTACATGCGGGGGAAGATGTTATCGAGGGCAGCGAGACGTGGTAAAGTGTTCTGCGCTCCGCAAGAAAATTCTGATAAAACAGTTTCCGGCGAGATACCCGCGGAAGCGGGAGATTGGCGCGAGTTCTCGCGCAAAATAGCGGCCGCTTAAACTTTTGAATGCCGTTAATATTACGTAAATAACGCGCGCGCCGCTCGAGGAAATATTAAAAGCAACGAGATATCTTCGAGGTTGCAGCCAGGCGAACCCGCTTCGTGAACGATCATTTATACGTCTTCTCGATGTAACTGCCGTCGCCGTTAAAATAGTTATACTACGTCTTTGCGCAGAAACCATAATTGCGCAATATTCGAGACAATCAGGAGCTTGCTCCTGCGTACAGTCCAGCGGACCAGCCGAGCGTGAAATTCTTCCCTCAGGCGTCTCCCTGCCATTTTTTCAGTGCCATCTCCAGACCGCGTCTGTAATTTTCCAATTGTCACGGATATAAGCACCGATTGAGCGCGGACACTCGACGCGATTATCTCGAGCGGATCGAAGTCGGCCGGTTTTGCAGCCCTCGTCTGTCATGCACGCGCGTCTCCGCGTCTCTGCCAGGAGGACGAATACAAGAGAGAAAGAGCTGCTGAGGGCTGTTGAAGCAGAAGCGGCGCAGCAGAAGAGGCGGTGGTAAGCTCGGGGGCACGTGCACGTGCGATCACTCGCGGCGACCGTGCACGGGGCGCACGTGGCCCCAGTCGCCACCGCGCGGTCAGGTGGCCGTCGGAGGCAGGATGAACTTCAGGAAGTCGTGCCGTAGCCGAGCGTCACGCGCCGCCACTTCCGGCGTCAGCAGACTCCACAGGCAGCCAAGGCGGAAGCAGTCGGCGAGAATCAGGAAATGCATGTGTCTGCCGTCTAATTACGCCCACGTGGAGTTCCCTGTGGTCTGGTCCGAGCTCAGGTCCGTAATCGCGCGCTCTCGCGTAATTAAGATCTCGCCCGCACGACGACGAGCATCGTTAGCGTTCTCTCTCTCTCTCTCTCTCTCTCTCTCCCCCTCTCTCTCCCTTTTCTCTTTCTCTCTCGTGGCTGTCGACTGACGATGTGCAGTTTTCGCTTAAAATTGAGCGGACTTTTGAGACGTCGGAAGTGTTGTCGCGCTCGTGGGAACTCGAGATTGCTCTCGTGTGCTTTCTCTTTGTGACTTTGTGCGTTAACACATAAAAGGACGAGGGGAGGAAGAATGCGCGATCGATTCATCCGAATAAATTGATATCGCGAGGTATTTCCCTCGTGTAAGCTACGAAAGCCGGGCGACTCTAATCACCCCGGTCCGATGAAAAATTGTGTGTCTCTCTCTCTCTCTCTCTCTCGTCTCTCGTCTTTCCTGTTGAACTGATTCGTCGGCGTTGCGGGCTGTATCTCGCTTGATTTGCAGTTCACGCGGGTTTTAATACACGCTCGCGAAATGTCGCGCTGACGCGTTCGTCGCGAACGAGCGCGAACGACGGTTTTCTCGAATTGTCAAGGGTCTAATCGGTTTCAGGGCTAATCAGCAGCTGTGCGACGGTGCTATAAGATGCGCAGGGGATCGAGTTTTCCCGGTACATCGCGCCATACTATCCGCGGTGAGCCCGTACTTCAAGGCGCTCTTCACCAACAGTCTGAGAGGCGGCAAAACCGAGACGACGGAAATCACCATCAACTCCGTCCCCGGGGAGATCTTCAGTCTGATTCTCGACTACGCCTACACGGGCACCTGCAACGTCAACGCCGACAACGTCGAGCAATTGTTACCGCTCGCCGATCAGTTCGAGGTGCTCGGCATCGTGCAGCTCTGCTGTCAGTTTCTGCTGCAAGAGCTGCGGCCGGACAATTGCTTAGGTGAGTCGTTCCTAAGAATTACACCCCACGACGCAAATCGCACCTGACGGTGCTGTCTCTCAAGTGCTGTGCTGAAACGAATCCTTGAAACTTACCATAACCTCTAGTCGGACGTAACGACGACAGTTCGGAGGTAAAATTTCTCAAATTTCAAAGCACCATCACAATCATCATCTCTTTAATGTCGACCTCTCGAAGGTCGAGCCGCTCGTGGCGCGGCTTTCTCTTGAATATAATTGGCGCCACGTCGCTCGCGTTCACGTGACCGCAGGTATCTTTAAATTCGCGTGCCACTACTTCTGCCGCGATCTCGAGAAACAAGGCCGGAAGTACATACGTCACCACTTCAAGCAGATACTGCAGGAGAGCGGGGAACTGAAGGATCTTCTTTGCGACGAGCTGGAGGCGATATTGAGCGACGACGAGCTCAACGTTAAAAACGAGGAGATCGTGTTTGACGCCGTCAAGACATGGGTCGAGAGCAGGGTCGACGAGAGACGAGTCTACTTGCCTAGGTTGCTGAAATGCATACGTTACGGCCTCATGACTCATAAGTACTTCGTTAATAACGTCGTCAGCTGGAAGCTCGTCGAGGGGAATGATGTGAGCACGCACCTTCGACACTGTTGACCGTCGCGTTTTGCCGCGGCTTCGCTCCGGCTTGCATAATAATGAAGCTGAGCGCGCGGTTAAGCGCACACGCGTGCACACGCTTGTGCGCTTTCGTACGCGTGAGTTATAAATACGGGTGTTAACGATAAGAGCTCGCGCGTCGCGTCGCTGAGCATCGCGAACGCCTTCGTTCGCGTCGAGATATATGGGCGAGTTTTAATCGCGTCGAACCTGCACGTTCGGACAATGTTTTCAAGGCCTGCCAGAAGACGCTGCTGCCGGTGAATGCTTATTTAACCGAGCAGGACTCGAGGCAGAACGGCGGGGAGATCGATCTGAGGAATCCCCTGGCGAGGCCGCGTGTACCGCACGAAATTCTCTTCGCGATCGGCGGATGGAGCGCCGGTTTGCCGACCAATTTTGTGGAGACTTACGACACGAGGTGCGCCTAACGGCAAAGTCATATCGCGTAACGGAGATTTCCATAGAAATTGAAATTTAAGATCGTCTGAAAATATTACCACGCGCGTGCACGGAGAGATGGAGCGAGTGAGATGAAGACAACTTAGGCTTAACCTTGCCAAGGAAGAAAAAAGAGAAAAAAAACAGATCCGTAGTTACTTGATATATGGTGAGACGGAGCGACAGATTTTGCGACGAGAGTTTGTAGAGTTTTCGTGTTATAAAAGAGATATCTGTGTGTGATATTGATTAATTTCGCCGTTCACTCAATTTCGCACGAACCTGAGATGTCGATAATTATCGCTGATTAAGAATATTTCTAGCGAAATGTTGCAATGTCCCGAAGAGGTAGGAGCGTATTTCTGAGAAAAATCAGTTGTATAGATCTGTCACTAAAGCAAGGTCGGAAATGGTTGGAGAGGTTGAAGAAGAAACGTGATCATGTGCGAAGTCGCGTGTACGTCGGAGCGATTTTCAAGTCGCGGCCGAGATACTCCGACCTTGCTCGAGCTTCGGATGTTGTAGGATAGAAAGTTATTGGTGCCTCCGGAATCGTGTAACGTATCGAAACGTGAACTCTAGAGCTGACAGGTGGTTTCTATCAGTGAGCACGGACGTAACGCCGAGGGCTTATCACGGATTATGCACCCTGAACAATCTCATCTACATGATCGGTGGATACGACGGTAACGAGCACTTCAACACGGTCCGATGTTTCGACCCGGTAACAAAAGAATGGCGCGAACGAGCCTGCATGTATCATGTTAGGTGTTACGTCAGCGTTTGCACGCACGGTGAGTTCGAAATGTCTGTCGAGCAAGGACGAGAGAGTATTTTATCCGTCAATCGTAGCTGATTGTCATCTTCCATCGGGATTAAAAGACCTTCTAATCTAATTGACGTTCAACGCGTGAAACTTCTCCTTCCACAAATTGCTCTTTAAAGAAAGAACGAAAACATTTTCCCTCTCTCTGTCTCTGTCTCTCTCTCTCTCTCTCTCTCTCTCTCTCCCTGTGAAAAAAGCTAGCGAGACTTATTCTAAGGGGTCGGGGAAGGATATTTCACTCTCCTCGCGCTCACCCTCTCTATTCCTGTCCCGGGAAACTCGCGTCGGTGCGTATTTTCGCCGAGCGTCTAACCAGGATTATATGCCTCGTCCACCCGTCGCGATATTGTTTATTTATCGCGCGTCCCCCGGGCGATCGCTGAAGGCGGCAAGATTTACGCGCTCGGCGGATTCAACGGTCGCACGAGGATGAGTTCCGGCGAGCGATATGAGCCGCGGAAGAACCAATGGGAAATGATCCCGTCCATGCACCGGCAACGATCGGACGCCAGCGCGGCGGCGCTCCACGACAAGATCTACATCGTCGGCGGCTTCAACGGCCAAGAGGTCCTCAACTCGGCCGAGGTCTTCGACGTGGAGACCAATCAATGGAGCAACATCCACGCGATGATCAGCCCGCGATCCGGCGTCTGTCTCGTCGCGTTTCGCGACAGTCTCTACGCTCTCGGAGGGTTCAGCGGTGTCGTGAGACTGAGTTCCGGTTAGTTGGAATCGTTACGACCTTGAAATTAGTACTGGAAATCCGGCAGTGATTTTCGGTGAAAATTCCGAGGTGAAAAATCTTCAACAGCGGCTTTCGGCCGTGCTTCGAGCTTGAATTGTCGACCGTGCTGATTACACATTAAACCATCGATCAAAGTCAAAGATATATATATAATATATATATATATATATGCATCTCGAGAGATTATCGTGAAAATCATGATTTATGTTAATGTTTATTAACTCACGTAAATTATATAATTTGAGGCGTAAACACGCACACCTCCAATGATTAGGAACAAATTTACATGGTCGTCTTATGACATCACATTTACGTTGGTAATTAATTAGTCGTGTTTAAGGCAGTTCCGCGAGGCGCATTTGTCAGAATTTAGTTTGATAGCGAAATGTTTATCCAACCGATATAGAAGTGGCTCGGTTCTGTTCTAATTACGTCAGTTACGCAATATCGTTCACGAGTTGCGACACAACAGCACGTACTTTCTCTCTGTACCGCTGTAACTACCCCCTCCCTTCGCCCTGGTAAATATTTCCCACGCGAATGTTTGAAATGCCGGACGTTTCGCGCTGAAGGGCACTGTTCGAAAAATACGTATGTATTTATTTTGCAGGGGAGCGCTACACTCCAAACCATTCTGACCAATGGCACGAGGTGTCGGAGATGTTTAGCCCGCGCAGCAATTTCGCCACGGCGATCCTCGACGATATGATTTTCGTCATTGGCGGTTACAACGGTATTTTCCTGAAAAATCATTCTCACGTCGCGCGACACTTCGTCCGGGTTTCGTAATCGAGTGCCACTAGGTACTACTGGATATTTTCGCTTCCTCCCCAGTAAATCTCCAGTGTGTTTTCCAGTATGCATAAATTTCGCCCGGGACGATTCGCCCTTCGCGATGTGATTCGGGACAAGATTCCCCACGCATTAGGAAACACTCGGATTGCCGAGATTAGATTTATGGACGTGTGTTGTGTACGTGCAAATGTACGTTTCAGGATCGAGCACGGTCGCGTACGTCGAGTGTTACGACGCGGACTACAATGAATGGTACGACGCATCCCCCATGAATCTCAGTCGCAGCGCTCTCAGTGCCTGCGTGATAGCCGGTTTAGAGAACGCGCGCGAGTATTCCTATCTGGACAAAGCTCGGGATCTTGGCCAAGGTCGGTGTAATATACGACACGGCGGCAGTAGTCGCGGATCTCAAAGAAGATGATTAAACCTTCGATCGCGCTTCTATATCGGCGCCTTCAACACATATTTACGAGACGCGTAACCGCGGTGGTGCAATAAGCGACTTTTCCTCTCGGCGAAGAGGAATATCTGGCTCGATCGCGAAGCATGCTCGGACGCTGCGTGAATTCTCGCGAAAGTGCGGTCTGCATTAAAATATACATGGGAGCTGAAATTCTGGTCTCGATAAACTCCAGCGAAACGCGTGAAAAAGACACGAAGGACCGGGAATTTACTCGGGATTTTCTCGACGAGGCATACTCGCAACGCGACTCTTCACCTTTTCCGCGCGAGAACAGTCTTGACGGATTAAATATGCCGATGTGACCTTTCAGGGCAAGCGACGTCGAAGAGTGAGGAAAAGTCCGGTCAACCTGGCGAGGTTTCCGTCGAGACTAACGTCATAATCGCCGTGGACGAGGGTGGCCAGATGAACGTAAGCGAGCTGGTGGGTCCCATAGACGGTGTGGCTGATGGTATCGGAAATTTCTACGAGGAGGAGATGCGGGACGAGCTGCTGTACGTTGCACAGGAGCTCGATTAAACGTCGTTGAGGAAATTGAAGCGTCGGTCGACGCAACATCGCGTCGCTTTGCGGATTTTTGCGGACGCCGTTGGAGAAGAAAATTCTGCATGTCTGATCGAGCGAACAGTCCGTCTCAGTAATATTAAATCAATATCGTGATTTTTATACGATAATAATTACGATACCCAACATCGCAATTACATCGTGCCTCGCGTTTCGGAGATCAGAGGAATATTGATGTATTTTTTTTTTTTCTTTCTGGTAACATCCACGAATGTTTGAGAAAACGCAATGTTGTGTCGGCTGACGTTCTTCGATCGCCCGCGAGGAAATACTGAAAATCGACGGTGGGAAAGCACTCGAGAGAAGAAATGGCCTCTCACTTCTTTACGGACGGAAAAAGCACGAGCGTGTTTAATTGTTACACCGTTGTCGACACAGTCGGTCTGAGTAGGCTCCTTAAATCGTACAGCGAAACACCATTTGTCGGCGAGAAAACAGGCGAGGAAACGGCTCGCTAAAGGGAGGAAAAAAAATGAGAAGCCTGAGAGAGTCGGGTTAGCGTTGCGCGTTAGTGTTTTCGTAAGTTATTTCCGCTTTTCTCGCGATTAAACGTGGCACGGGAATTTTAATTAGCACCGATTTGTACGTAGCATCGCACGCGCGCGCGCGCGCTAGAGACGACGATTGAAAGCAAGCGCAATTTTAATCCGTTGTTTTATAAGAGATATTTTCTTTTCCACGTTGGTCTTTTTTTTTTCTTTTTATAAATCTACTTTCGAGCCGTGAAATTTTTGCAAGGACGAGTAGGGACGATTTTACACTTGGCGAAAGCGGTGGGCCACTTTGATGTGCCGCGTAATAATTATTTACACTTTTCACACAACGACGAGAAATAGTACGGTACGCGACATTTTACATCCGCGGCCGAGGAGGCGACGTTGTTATTTTTTATGGACGAGTTTTTCGTTTCTCCGATATGTATACGCAAATATACCCGCGCATACGCACATACACACACATACACATACATATACATAATCTCGATGCCGCGCGATTTCCACTGAGAATATTCATGTATCAAGAGACCTTGTCACTTTAATCCTATTAAATTGGTCTCTTCATCCCAAAATCTCGCCTCTTTATTGTATGAATTTGGCTGTAAGAACATCTCGCGCGGCATAAATTATTCGGACCCTCGACCGCGGCTTATCGATTATGCTTATCGGGAAAAACGCTCCCATCAGTGTTGGTGAATAACAATGATGCGGTGGCTTGAGATTTTTTATTAATCTATCTCTCATATATGTATATATGTAGATTTATTCTTCATTTCTTATTCATCTTTTATACGTACTTATATATTATGTATAGTGTACACGTTTACTTCTTCTTCATTGGTGTTTCTCTTGTTGACGACTGCGTCTTCCGTTAAATCCCGTTTGCATTCAGTTATGTTACGTACAGTCTCTCTTTCTCTCTTTCTTTCTCGCTCTCGCTCTCTCTCTCTCTCTCTCTCTCTCTCTCTCTCTCTTTCTCTCACTCTTTCTCTCTCTCTCTCTCTCTCTCTCTCTCTCTCTCTCTCTCTCTCTCTCTCTCTCTCTCTCTCTCTCTCTCTCTCTCTCTCTCTCTCTCTCTCCCTCTCATTCTCTCGTAAGTGGTTTGATCGACGATTATGTGGTGTCGTTATTTAATCGTGCCCGGCTGTACGATGTGTGCTCAATAGACGCGACACGAGCGAAATACAATAGCGAATTCTCCTTGGCCGAGTGTCGATGAAACTTTCGATACGTCAAAGTGGAAAAAGGGGAGTCGTGGCCGGACTGTCAGTCTCTCAGACCCTCGGCGTTGAACTTTCAAAAGTCGTCCTCTAAATCGCGACTGTCATCCTACGTTATAACCCCTTTCATCTGTTTTATTATTATTGTTATTGTTATTATTATTATTCTTATTCTTATCATTATTATAGAGAAGAAGAAAAGGACACGAGAGAGATAGGATGAAGTTGAGAAAAAGCAAACTCTTCGACTTCTTCTTTAGATAAATATTAATATTTCGAATTTGTAAAAGTTGCATTTAAATCGGTGGAATATTATTTATCGAGGACGCTTGGCGTTCCCCCGAATAATCGTTAAATTCTCGCTCATGGACATTCGCGTTTTAGCTCCGATCCGACCTCTCTCTCTCTCTCTCTCTCTCTCTCTCTCTCTCTCTCTCTCTCTCTCTCTCTCTCTCTTTTTCGGCGATCTATAATTCAGGATAGAATCCTATTTGCAATTTTATGCGCCGCGTTGTATAGAAAACACCTGACGATTTATCGATGTACGATGCGATTCTGATTATTCAAATGTTTCCTCGCAAATAGACTTCTTTGGTGAATTACAGATCTCGTTTAGGGCGGGTTTTAAGGTCCGAACAGAATCTCGCCAGTCCGGTACGATCGATTGCGCACGACTGATCGCGCAATGTTAGAAAAAAATTTCGCTCGTCAATTAGTTTTTCGTTCAGCGGGCTCGCGAGGCCGTTGCGACTTGTCACGGAGAACTCGCTATCTTCGGTAGAATACTCGGCCGTCCAGCCGGGATGACGCCACAGGATGGAGAACAAGGAATGGATACACGAGTGAATCGTAAATTACGCAAAAACACGTCCGTCAAAGGTGCAACAACGACTCCACGTCCTGGAAGTTGTAGTCCGGTTCCGAAGAAAATTCCTCTAAAACGAGAAACAGAACTCGCGGGGAACACTCGCGCGATCGGCCGTGTCGCGACGCGACTCTGCCACGTCGATCGACGACGATCGATCCGACCGTGCGTCCCCGATCGCGTTCCCCGATAAATTCCCCTAGAAAATCGCGCGCCTTAGGTGGTAAGTTAAAAACTTAAACTTACACGACGAGAGACGAGTGTGTACAAAGTCAATAATCTTCGCGATTAGAACGTACGCGCGTCGCGTCGCGACCGTACAATTATAATGAAGAAACGACGATATAGTTGAGCAAATAATAGGAGAGCAATGAAAGTTACTTTAGATCCGTGGTCCTTCCGCGAAGAAGCGAATCTCGAGAAAGGCTCCCGAATCTGTCGAATCTCCGAGCTCACGTCCCCCTATGTTTTTCCGCTTCCCGTGGATTCCCGTAATCTCCCTTTCACGCACGATTCGCGACGAGTTGCTGACGGCGGACAAAGAGAAGAGACCGCCCGCTCGCCCGGCCGCGACCGATCGATGACGCGCGCGAAGCGTCATCGGCGAGATTTATTCGCAGTTGAGAGAAAAGCTTCTTTTAGGGGCGTGCGCACGTGCTCACGCACAAACGTACAAGCACACGCACACGCACACGCACACGCACATACACAAGCGCGCGCGCACACACAGCGCGGTGGCTGTCTACCTGATAAACCTGATAAACGTGTCATCGCGGAGCGAAAATTTGATCGCGACGAGATAGTCGGAACGTAAATATTTCACTCGCACTATGCATTTGTGCGAGTTCATTAGCGGCATACGAGCGTCATAAATCTCCGGCGAAGGCCGTAGCGACGGGGCCGTAGAGACGAGCTTTATTCCAACTTTAAATCGTGATTGATGTTTTACGGCGATTTAATTCGCTTGCCGCGGCTTGCGTGCGACGAGACGATTTTATGCGGCGAAAATTAGCCGGCCGCTCCGCGAATGAGGGTAATCAAGACGCGTTTGTGCAAAAATTGTCAGATACGTAGGTTTTCCCGAGGAAGCTTTCCGAGGAGGAGAGATTCACGTTTCACGAAATTTCACCGTCGGCCGATTTCGAGTCGGCTGATTTTGTCGTTTGGCTCAGGCGACGATTGCGCGCTGGACGCGATCGCTCTCGTCTCGACCGACACATTTATCAGGTAAAGTCCACCCGAACTCAGTCCAGATACAGATGAAACGTTCGAGAAATGTCTTCGTGCGCAGACTTTGTCTGCCTCGGGTCCGATTTCTCGCAGACGACTTTATCGAATGCTCCGAGAATTCGGGAGAATGAAAACAATTACCGGCGGCGGGCTCGATAAAACGATGCTCGCGACGTAGTTACTATGAGACGGGGTTCCTTTGCGTCAGCAAGTTTAACTTCTCGCATCAAACTAAAAAAGAATCCGAGCCCCGCGACGAATGAGATGGAGAGCCGCCCGTGTCTGCCGAAAACACGGTCGCTCGCGTGGGCGATAAACCGACCGCTACCGCTGCATCTTCCCGGCGAGTACATCGTGAAACATTTATAAGATTAGAAAACGTACCGTGCGGTGAGACTTGGAAAATTTGCCCGCGAGTCGCTGGGCCCTCAGCGCTGACGGCAAGATCCAGGAGAATTTGAAGAAACCGCTATCGATTACTTGCGCGCGTGTACTCTTTTTCAGCCTGACGCGAAGTTGCACTTACTCGCGCAGTTTTTCATCGTGTCATTACTGAGAGCTCGCGGTTGTCCACACAGCGATATATATGCACATATATATATATATATATATATATATATGTATGTATAGTATATTATACGATCGCAATATACACGTTAACGATGGACTCACAGGTGGTCGTTTTATGACGATACACGTAGACGTTCGCGCGTTCTTACGCGCGTAAATTCAACGCTTACATCGAATGATAGTGACTTTTACGCACGACGTATATTACTCGCATCATCGGGAGCCGACGTATGACTCGCACGATCCGTCTCAACTCTCGTCTCAACGACGCGCGACGTTACAATGCTATCGCTGTAAAAACCGTTATTAATTTCTACGCGCGCGCGCGCGCGCGTTCGCGCTTGGAACAATTCGTCTGCACATCCACGGAGAGTTGTAAAGGTGGGTCCAGACTTGTGTGTCGCATCCCCGTATCGTATCATAATTGCGTATCATGATCGGCAAGTGTGAACGGGACACTGTATCGTTTTTGCGTATCGTATCTGCGTATCAAGGTAACACGCAGGCACTGTGATCGACTTGGTCGGTATTTCGGCGAACATCAAAGAAATAATACGTGATACGGATACAATGAGTGTAGACGTGACTTATCCCGCCCAGATCCTATATCGATCTGCCAACATAGGATCTCTCGTTTTATTCAGTCGTATCACTTCGTATCCGACAGTCATGGTTGATGCTGTGCAGTGGTCACAAGAGAAAGTGATAGAATTAATAGACTTTTATAAACAAAAAAGTACTCTTTCGAATCCAGCGGATCCCAACCATTTCAATAGATCGAAGAGAAACGATGCGTGGGAGGAAGTCTGGACCTACCTTAACGCGGCGTTCGTCAGCTGGAAAATCGCGAAGGGCGGTGTGCGCGCGCGAGGACACGCGCGTTCGCGCCTCGACGAGGGGCGCGTATCGGAAGGTAAGGTTGCGAAGCGCGAGCTTGTCCTTCGGACGTATCGAGACGAGAGCGAAGATGTGCTCTCGGAAGATTTCAGACGTTCAGGAGAATTCGAGAAGATTCACAGTTTGAGAGACGTGCGTGCTCGCGATGACTCGACTCTCGCGATTTTCCACTACAGAATTGCTGACACAGACGTCTCGTACTGCGCTTTCTCGATTTACGCAACTGCGGTGTCTACGGTGGATAATATAAATTCCTGCGGACATCGACTCGCTTGCGTGTCTTGGAAAGAAAGACACGCGTTGACTGTAAATGTACACGAGAATACAGCTCGTTATGAATTCAACGTCTGTCAGCGAATTTCCTGGGGATTGTCCAAATGCCAATTCTTTCCCGTCTCTCGCCGTCGAAGTACGAGGCGTCATTCTCGCGGCGAATCGCTACGATCATACGCCGTAGTTTGGTACGCAGAGCGCATCAGATACATGCGATGACAGAACGTTTGGCGAATCTCAAGGTCACTCCTCACGACGGTGGCCGTCGTCTCGATTGTGTTCAACACACATCGAGCATCTCGATAGTCAGACCTCGAGATTCGAAAAGAGTGGATCATACCTCGCGAAATCAAAGGAACGCTCGAGTCTCGTCACTCGATCGGAGAGTTGCAATCTTCTTTTCTTTTTGCATTTGCGACCGGTGGTAAATAAAGAAAAGAACGTCTCTATCTCGACGTCTCTACGTTTTGATTGAGGAAGGATCAGCTGCGAATCGCCCGAAGAGCCGGTCGTTGAAATTAACGTCGGCGATCCCGGAACATCTCACAGACCTCGAAGTAACCGAGAAAGGTCGAGTTCGTCCACGTTCCTCGACGACGATCTCGACAACAGCCATGTGTAGCACTCGCGGGCGCGACGCTTCGCGTTGCCCCCCCGCTTCATTTACGATTAATATAATTTTTTCTTTATTTCTCTCTCTCTCTCTCTCTCTCTCTCTCTCTCTTGCTCTCTCGTTCTCTCTCTCTCTTCTTTCTCTCGTTTGTTTTTCATCGATAGATTGTTCTGAGCAATTGAGATCTAGTATTGGAGGGATTTCATATACCTGAAATGTGTTTAGTCACTCCCGTCGCGCATCATCGCGTCCGTTTTCGCACCCCGGAATACTCCCCCGCCGCGTCTCAGAGCGCGAGTACTCGTTTCATCGCACACTGAGACCGTGTGACCGCGCAGAGACCTGTGTGTTACGACTGAGGCGTCGGTGAAACGCATTATCGCGTCCCTCCCGAATCCTCCCGTTAACGTCGATGTAACGCGCAAGATTAACGTCCGTCTCACATCTTCTTCTCGACGAACTTTCGTCTTCAGCTGCCTCCCAATCTCATCCCCGTGTCTCTATTAACTTTTCGCCGGGTCGTTCATCCCCCCGCGCCTAAGGTCTCTTTCTCTCTCTCTCTCTCGCTCGCTCTCGCTCTCTCTCTCTCTCGCTCGCTCTCGCTCTCTCTCTCTCTCTCGCTCGCTCTCGCTCTCACAACTCGGCACTCTCATCCATTCGCCGCACTCACCGCACTCAGCACTCACACTTATCTGAGGATAACAATTGACATGCGTTTCATAACTTTCCTAGCGTCTAGACAATGTGTCGTTGCATTGTCTTTTTACTTTTATTATTATTAATATTATTTTATTATTGATTCTCCTTACTTTTTTCTATTATTTTCTCTGTACATCGCGGAGAACGAGTGTCCGCAGCGACAGAGAGCCCCCGTGTGTGTCTTCTCCGGAATTCCTCCGCCTCTTCATTTCCTTCTCCTCTCCCTCTCTTATCTTTAGATAAAACACGCCCGTGAATTTTCGCGATCGCCGTACGCCCGCCGACGGCTTCGAGTCCCTTTTGTCTCGCGCGACTGCGACTCATCGGCCGTTCCTCGCGACGTTGACGAAGCTGACGCGCTCGACGAGCACCTCGCTACCTCGCGAGTCGCTTCTCACTTGTTTACTCTCTCTTCACTAGGCCACACGTCAACCACGCTCGTCAGCTGTCGCCGCCGGTTCCCCGTGATTCCAGTACGTGGCATCACTCACAGAGATGACGTATTAGATCGTACAAATGTTATCGCTCGTGTGTTATTTCACCCCCGCACTGCCCCGCACCTTCGGATATTTCTCTGTGCGCCTTTGCGTCTCCTTCGCCTTTTTCGTTTTCGCTTTCTATCTCTGTCTCTCTCTCTCTCTCTCTCTCTCTCTCTCTCTCTCTTTCTCTCTCTCTAAGTCGGAGAAGACTACTACTGCTACTATCAGCACTGGAGAGTAGGCCCATTCCACGACTAGCTATATGGATCCGTCCCGTTGGAAGACCCGAACGAACTCTCGACCGCGAATGTCGAATTCGACGAACGCGACTCTTCGGCCGAGCGATTACGCTCGGAGTGCCGGAGGCTGTGCGAACAGAACGACGATTCGCTCAAATGCGACGTGCGCTGCGCGTTCCTCGTGTAAAAAAAGGAGGTCGACTTGCCCCGGTGTCCTCGCGGGCCGATTCGTTTCTTCGAAAGCAGATCGGCCGGGGACGTTTCTAAATTACGCTAATCATGAATGCGCTTGTCGACGCGCGTCCGGCAGAGTTTCTCTCTCCATCTCTCTCCCTCTCTCTCTCTCTCTCTCTCTCTCTCTCTCTCTCTCACGTCTCCCCTCTCTCCCAGTCCCCTCGTCACGTCTATAATTTACTAGTCTAATCAGTCCCCTTTACGTTTTTTGTTCTTTCGTGCGCTAGACCAGTCCTTTCCTTATCTGAAGTACTTGAGTCCCGCCACCAGCAGAAACTTCTCGATGAAAAGCTCGGAGTCGAGGACGGCGATGTGCGCGGCTCGGCCTATCAGGGCGTTCGCCGTCGGCGGTAGAGCGTGATGCACATCGTACCTGACGAGACTGACGCAGGGCGCCGACATCACCGGGTACAGGATGTTGTGCACCATCTCGCGGTACGCGGCACCTGCGGGGAAGCGAGCGGGATCGAACGTCAAACGAATGTCGGCTAATACTCGAGTAATACTTGACGGTAGCAGCGCAGAACGGTACACACCTTGATCGGTCGGATCTCGTACGGCTGCCTTGCAGAGCTCGATCCGGGCAGAATGCAGCGGCACGTATCGGTCTTGGGCGCTCCCGCACAGCAGGACGTGCTTGAACTTCTGCAGATTGCTCTTCTGGCTCAAGCGAAACATGAAGGAGCGCCTCACGTCCGGCGAGTCCTTCATCGCCAGTTGCAGCAGAGATCCGGACTTCTTCCACTTCTGCATGAACCACATGCCTGCGCGATTCGAACGAAACGGTCATCGTCTCGGTCTGTGTGGTCTCGAGAGAAAGAGGAACGAAGAGCGTTCGTCAGGCTTACCCGCGTTCACCAGACCGCTCGTGTTGTAGAGAGTGCCTAGATGAGGCCCGCTCAAGCTGAGGAAGGTGTGTAAACGGGGGAGGAGCGGGCGCAGCTGTGGTCGCGTCAGGGCGCTCCGGATGATTATGGTCCCAAGGGAATGCCCGATGAAGCTCACCTTCGTCGGGTTCAGCCCCGACGACTCGATATGATAGAGAATCTCAGCCACCAACCGGTCGGTCATCGTGTCGAAGTCCGAGAAGGTATCGCCCTTGCATACACAAGCGATACATGTGAATTTTTGCATTCGTTCGTTCATTCATTCATAGTCAGGCTAAGCCTTGTGTGGGATAGCAATCTTGCCGGTGCGTTTATTTAGTCTCTTCTCTCGTGTAAATAATAATCGTACAAAATAAAATGACGACAATAATAATAATTATTATAACGGAGTTTTCCCGACTACTTTTTATTAATTAATTGATAAAGTAATTAGATATCAGCACGGAGGTTCTCGAGGTTTCTGAGATTGTTCTCGCTGTTTACCGGCATCAGGTTTACCTGATTTCTCTCGGACATGAGGAAATCCAGATGCGCCCCGGGCAGACCCAATTCCAGATACGTCTTGACGAGACGGAGATCGGCGGCGTTACCGTCGAGACCGTGGACGCATATAATAAGGTGAGCACCTTCCGGCGAGAAGAGCCGACACTCGTCGCTGATGTGGAAGTACGGCAGGGTCGAGGCCAGGCTGGGATAGTCACTAAGAGGCACATTGGATCTTAATGGATGAATCGACGACGAGTTCAGAAGGTCACCGTATCCGAAGGAATGGGCACGTTTATGTAAACGCAACTGTGCTTCCTTGCGTTCTCTAGATAGGGATCAGGTGGACAGAGAGAGAGAGAGAGAGAACTTAACTACAAACGGAAAGAGACAGACGGAAATGCGCAACAACGTGGAAGCGAGCGCAAACGCAAAAGGCCTCTAGCCTCTAGCACACACCTAGCGGAAATGATATTTTTCGAGCACGCATCATCATGTGTGACGAGTGATGCGTTGGAAAACAATGCGGTTTAACAAAAAAAAAAAAAAAAAAAAAAAAACAAGAAAAAACGTCATTCAAGCGTAATTATAACTTTGACAGACTGAAGACTCCAGCATGCACGCAACGTAACGTTGAATCACGAAGATGACGCGACACTTTTTACGACACAGTTTCGTTGTTACTTTCAATTTGGACATTGACTTGCCAACAAGCCGGAATAATAATCCGAAATAAAATGAGCGCTCTTATCCACTTCCGTGGTAGCACATACAACTGATCGCTCAAGATTCAAACGACGCGCACGCTGGGCTTAAGGAAGCAGTTCTAACCGGAAGGGCCGAACGTACGCACGCATGTCGAGAGAGCTCGCGGCGTACCTGTAGATCCTGCCGGAGAAGCTCATCTGCCGCTTGAACTCCTCCTTGCACTTCTTGAAGTTGATGAAGTCGTCCTGCGTGGACTGCAGCAGCTCTTTGCCCTCCTGATAGCAGTCCAGGCAGATGTCCCGGACGCCGTAGGTGCCGTCCCTGTCGCGCTCCCGGTTCCGTTGCGGGCTGCACGGCGCCGTTTTGTTCTGCTTCGGGCTCCTCGTCTGCTTCACCGTCTCGTACACGTGGTAGAGTAGGTTGTCGATCGGCGCCGGCGGGTCGCGGAACTCCTCCGGCGGCGGTGGCTCGTCCTGGAACATCTTCGGCGGCGGCAGGCGCACCTCCTCGTACGAGTGCTCCTCCACGTTCTCCTTCGCGGCGCGGTCCTTGCGCGGCACGATCTTTGACAGCTTCTGCCGCAGCTGCTCGCTCGACAGCTTGGCGTTGCGACGTTGCTCCGAGCTGGACGTGTCGCCGCTGCTGACCCAGCCGGAGCACTCGGACGTGAGGTTGCTCGAGCTCGAGCTCGGCGTGGGGCTGCTGGGCCTGGTGGACGGTGGGCTGAGGGGATTCGGGATCACCACCGGCAGATTGTTGCTCAGACTGTCCTTGCTGTCGCGTATCGGCATGCACGGCAGGGAAACCGCGCTGCGCGGCACCATCACCTTGTTCTGCGCCACCGGCACGCTGGCGCATCGCAGTCTCTTCACGCACGGTGGCGGCACCACGGCGCTCGACGTATCCGACGGCGTGGTGCCGTTGGTCGCCGGCACCTCCATGGGCGACTTGATGGGCTCCATCTGACAGTAGCGTCAAGAACGAATTACAAATTTAATGTATACTCCTGTAGTGTACATTCTTTTGTCCTAGGTATTAGGAGCTTACAAGAGTTTGTTTGTTGGATCTTTGTAACTGTCGATTTCTTTCCTCCACAACTATAAATAAGAGAGAAACAAATTCAGCGTCATTCAGCCGATCGCGCGTCTGCGAAAGAGAGAGTCGAATTCGCGAGGGAAAGAAATCGACCACCCGATGAACCTTCACGAGCTCTTAATATCGAGGCGCAAGCTTGTCCCCTCACCTTCAGGATAATTTTATTGTTGTTCTCCACCTCGAGGACGCTCGTCGTGGGCGTCGTAGGCGGATGACGGTACTTGGGCAACGGCGCATCGGCGAGATCTTGATACGCCGGCGGCGGTGGCGCTGGTTTCCGATTTCTGTGGCCGCACTTCTTGCTCTCCTCCAGCGGGTGGTCCGTATCGAGAACGGGCGCGGAGTGCGGCCTCCTGCTGTGCTTGTTTCTCCTCCGCTCCACGCGCGGTTCTCTCTTCGGTTCCAGCTTCAAGGCTATCACCTCGTAGACCGGCTCCTGAGGCGTCTCTGAGGTGTTCTTCTTGTCGCTCTGGCCGCGTCGCGGCTGCTCCTCGCCGCCGCAGTTCTGGGCCACCCCGTTGCGCGAGGACTTGCCTAGTCGCTCAGCTCTCCTTCGCGGCCGGTCTCGCGGTCGGAAGTCGCAGCACTCGTTGCGCTCCACGTCGTCCACGAGCCGTTCCGTGCTCTTCGGCCTCTTCGGCTTGTCCGGCTCGTCGCGCGTCCGCCGTTGCCCGCTCGTGCTGCCGTTTGTGCGATAGAAGAACGTGTCCGTGGTGGTCGTCGTCGCGTAGTAGTTGGACCTCTTGCTCAACGGCTCCGCCAGGGCCGAGTAGCTGTTAGCCAGCGCGCTGCCGTTCATGGACTCCGATATCTCGCGATTCCTCTGCGCCTGCGACATCGACGTCTTGCCGAGCGTGTGATACCTGCGACACTCGACGCCGTTGGTCTGGCTGTATTTGCCGGCCGCTTGGTGCCCCGGCCTCCGGGAGTTGCCTCGGTAAGTGACCCTGTCTAGCGTCGCGGTGTGCAACGGCTGAGGATCCTGCAGGAAGCTGTCGCCATTTATGTTCGCCTTGGCGGATAAAAAGCTACTTTGGTCGTTAGTGGTCGTTGGCAGCGGCTGACGTGTCCCCAGACGATGGCTCCGCGGCTCCAGCAGGTTTCGTATCCTCCTGGTGTCGAGCGAGTGGTAGTCTGGCCGAAACACACAGCGCAAAAACACACACGTCGTCAAACTGATTGCTCCGAATTAATTATCATACATATCTATTTATCGCTTGCGTTTAGTCGGAGCCCCTTATAGTACAATCAGACCCATGGTTCACACCCCTGGTGCGATCAATAGCTAGCTGAAGCAGTATTTCGCCAATTTCTTTCTCAACATGCAGATTTAGATCTCTCATACTCACGACTCTGGGATATTTCGTCATACCTTCCAGGATATTCGACTTCCTCTCCGTCAAGCAATCGGGCAATTGGTCAGGGTCCAAAGCGCCCATGCAAGTCGGCACCGTGAGGTTCTGGTCGCAGGACTTGGACGACGGTCGGTAGCCGGGCAAAAGCTCGCCGGGCGGCAGTTCGGGGAATATCGCGGCCAACAGGGAAGTGATGGAGGTTGATTGATGGTCGGACTGCTGCTGATGCTGTTGCCGGTTCGGCACCAGCATCTGCGTGGACTTGGCCCGAGGCAAGGGAATTACCGGCGTAGAACCGAGGGATGGATTTGGCGCGGAGCAAGCCTGCTGCTGGCCCGACGGCGGGAAGAGGGTGGTACTGGACGGCACTGTCGACCTGGGTCGCCCTCTGGAAGGCACCGTCGCCGGCGGGGTGACGTTGCGACCGCCAACGCGCTGCCGCGGGAACAGCTGGGTCGACACGGACCTCGGTAGGGTCTTCGGCGACGTTCTCGGCTGCAGAGGCACCAGGTCGGGCCCCAGCTGGTCCAAGGACTTGCTGTGCCTCGCGGGCAGCGTGGAGGGCGTCAACAGCAGCCGGGCTTGGATCGATCCGATGTCCTGCGCCGCGCCTTCGCTCCTGGGCGACCAGATGCCCATCGAGCGCGACTCTAGTATCGCCGCTATTCCGCAGCTGCAGTCGTCCATGTTGGGAACTGGGGAACACCATCATTCAAAGACAGAGACATTCGCTGATATAGAGAACGATCGGAAGAAGCATTTCTCTCTCTTTCTTTCTTTTTCTCACGGAAATACCGCACGCGTCGCATCGCTATGGGCCTACCGCTGTTTCTATGCCTCTGCTGCATGTCGGCGTACTGATCCTCGAAGATCAAAGGCAACGAGTGAAGATCGCCGTCCAGCTCCGGGCAATGGACAGGTAAGGGCGGCAAGGACGCGAGGTAACGCGACCGCCGGGCGGCCTCGCTCACCGCCTGGTAAGACTGGTAGTTCGCGTCGTAGCAGCCCGCTGCCGACGTTCTGGGATTCTCCAGCACGAAGAAACCCTCTGCGAAACGCTTCACCTGCACGTGGACGATCGGTCAGTCAAGGGAAGAAATGATCATTTCACGCGCTCTTACGGGCCACTCACTCTCAATTGATGATGAATTCGCGCGAGATGCTGATGAACCGCTTCGCGGCCGGAGAATGCCTCCAGGAAGTGCTGCCAGAGGACAATATTTTGTGCACAGAGTTGGGCTATGTCGGCCTCCTCAGTGTCAATCAGCTGCAAGCAACGGACAAAGAGCCTTAGAAAAGCGACTCGCGAATTGAGAGCGCGCGGGCCAACGGCTGGAGAGAGAGAGAGAGAGAGAGAGAGAGAGAGAGAGAGAGAGAGAGAGAGAGAGAGAGAGAGAGAGAGAGAGAGAGAGAGAGAGAGGAGAGAAAAAAAAGAGAGAGAGAGAGAACGCGCACCTTCGTGATCTCTTTGTGCGTGTTCTGTGCGAGCTCAAGCGCCCTTTGTTGCCAAGAAGGGAGCAGTCGCGCCAAGTCGGACAGGTCGTTGAGCAGAGATTCCCTCGTTGCCAGAAGCAATCTCGCGACTTCCTGCTGCACCAGCCTCGCGTGTTGCATCCTCGTCGTCGATCCGACGCATCTCGTAGTGGTCTCCTGAAACGAGCCGCGGACCTGGGTTGCATTAGACGACCACGAGCACGTCGCGCGAGACTCGTTTCGTGCAAACTCACAATATTCCCGAAAGTGGACGAGCTGTTGTCACCGTTCGCCGGGGATTGTTTAAACTGCAGCCAGGGCTTGCCGCCTCGCGGTGCGCTAAAATCATGATGAGATTCGGATTAATTCGGCGCGATGGCCACTTTTTTCATGACGGACGTGCTCGCGCGATGGAATATTTTTCTTTCACTTGGACGAAGAAGCCGTTAAATTACGTTTGCTTAACAAAATTCGATCGGTAACTGTCTGTCTGTCTGTCAAGAAAATACTTGACGATTTATTCCCTGCGATCTGGATTCTACTTCGTGCAAAATACATCGCAATATATTTATATTTTCGATTTGCACTCCTTGTTAACACATTATTTCTCCATTGACTAACGTGTCGATTACAAAGCCCGAGATCAGCTTGAGATTCGCTCGAGAGATTCGAAAGTTGAGACGAAGGTCTCAACATAAATCGCAGGACCGACGGGAAAGTATTCCGAACTTTAAAATGTTGAGGAACTCACCAGCTTTGCACGTAGTGCAGTATGCTCTTCCTGCGTTCCGCCGGGAGGAGGGTGGTGCAAGCGGCCATAAAACAGAGAGAAGGGTTCAACGTGAGGGACAACGTCGATTACATCGCGCAGAGAGTTACGAAACGCGAGCGCGATCGAGCGATACTGACTTGATGTAGGGCTGATGGAGTGTCACGAGGCAGGCGTGGATCGTGATGGACACCGCGGCGAGGTGAAAGTAATCGAAGAGCACCGGCAGATGGTAGTGAAGGCCCTTAGTGGGTGTGAAATTCAGCTGCAGCGCCCTGCAAAAAGGTACGTCCGTCAAATGTTCCGATCGATCACGCGCACGAGGACGGCGACTCCGTCGGAAGCGCACGATCGGTCACCCCGCCGCAATCTCAGGATGTATTTGTGGACAGGTGTCTAATAGGTAATAGACCAAAGAACGTTTGAGAGAGAGAGAGAGAGAGAGAGAGAGAGAGAGAGATAGAGCCACGTCTCGGCGAGAAACATATACGTTAGAAATTACGTTACGTCACGTTACGTAAAGCCGATCGTTCGAGGCTCCTGTGTATATGTAAGTTCCTTTTTACCCGGTGCCTTTCCGTCGGCAATCAGTCTCGGCAACTCGACGGGAAAGCCACTTAGGGACGTGTGCCACGCTCAAAAGGAAGCGCGCTATAATTGCGAACGTCGCGAGCGAGCTTCGCAGGCGCAATCTGCACATCCGGTGCATTAGGGTTGCTCGTGTCGCGTCGTTATTAGAGGACACGAGAGAGCGAGAGAGAAAGAGAGAAAGAGAGAGAGAGAGAGAGAGAGAGAGAGAGAGAGAGAGAGAGAGAGAGAGAGAGAGAGAGAGAGAGAGAGAGAGAGAGACGGAAGTGCGAAACGAGGGAAAGTACGTGCTACCCCCTGGGCTTTCTGACGCTGACGCGGCATCATCCGTTGAATATTTTAAGACTAGCAATTTAAGTTTCAAGAGTGTCCGTTTCTAAATGAAGTTACACACACGCAGGCGGGCATCATCTTTATATTAAACCTCCTCGTCCTCGAGAAACCAGACGTTTCCGTCTCTGTCCCCCCCCACTGAAATTACACACGTCTTTAGCATCGTGTGCGCCGGTTACTCGCGAGATCATCGTGCCGAAGGAGAATGCAAAATGACCGTGATAAATAAAAGAGTAGCACAGCCGAATCTACGATTAATCCCTTTAATCCGAAATCCAGCGTCGCCCTACTTCCCTAATAAATGCAAAAATGCCCGAGTAATTAAATATAATAATTAAAAGGCTTCTCTCTCCCGCATCTTGCTGAAAGGACGACGCGACAGAGGAGAGGGGGAGCGAGGGGTAAAAAGATTAACGCGCTCGGCGGCTCGGAGTGTCGCGGCTGCTTTCCCGCGGCTGCAAGCACACCCTGTGTCTTTGCCGCCACTAGAATAGTAATGCGCCGACGCCCATGTAAGATGGCAAGACGCTCACCTCGAGGACACGCAGGCCATGTTGCCCGGCTGTGTCGGCTCGCTGAACCATAGCTCGACTCCCAGATTGAAGTGGGTGCGCGACAGGGCCTCCTCGATCTTGTGACTGTGCACGAGCACGTGCGCCCGGAACAGCACGGAGGTACCGAGTGTCACCTCCTCGTTCCTGTAGAGTATCTGAAAGCGCTTGCTCGTGCCCGGCGCCTCCAGGGAGTCTGCAACACAGAGAGAACGTGCCCGCCGCCGAATTTCTCGTGTCTCATCCCCGAGAACACGGAGCGGGCTAGATCGATCTCGCAAGGCGAACGGACCCGGACCGCGGCCGGGTCGGCGAACGAATCTGGCGAGCACTCTCCGGTCGCGTGACGCGGCAGCTCTCGACGGCGAGAGATCGCGGCGGTGGCGCGCACGCGATCCTCGCCGCCGAGCGAGTACCGAGGAGAACACGAGATGTTTCAGAGAGACGTCGTGGAAGACAAGACTGTTCTGGCTCCTCGAGATCGATTCGACGCGACGCTACTACGGAAGTTCGCTGCAACGCTGCAACGCTGGACGGATTCGTTTTTTGCCAAGTTATCGCCGGCGGCAGTCACGTGACCGAGCGGAATGCGATCCAGTCGGGTGGGAGCTTTCGCTTCGTTTCGCCTCGCCTGCGAGCCTGCCTGCTTACGATTTCGTGGCTGATTAACCTCCACCTTGACCGGCAGCTTCGGCGACACTCTGAGAGCAGTTCGGATCTGGTAGTACCTGCAACACACACACACACACACACACGTATACAGATTTCGATTTCACACACAGGCTCGAGGCTCGAGGCTCGTCCTAGACAACCCGACCGCGCTGCTTCTCGCGGGTGCTTCAGAGAGGGTTGCTAGAAGGAGCTCAGAGCTCACTCGGACGTGAATCTCACCCGCGTTGGAAGAGGTCAACATTGTAGAACTTGCAGAGCTCGAGAGAGAACTCGAGGGTGGCCTGTAGATCGCTCATCTCGATCCTCGCGATGGAAGGAACCACCCCCGGCCCGCGCTTCCCTGGCACAGCCCCTAATCGCACGAAGACCAGCTTCGTCCACCGCGATGATTTGCGAGCACGAAACCTTCAGGGCCTTGCCGAAACTCTCGGTTCGCTCCTGCCATCGTGAGGAGGGATTTCAGCGCCGGAGATCTTCTGAAACGACATTCGACCTCTCGATTTGCTGCGGACGTGGCGCTATCGGCGACGGTGCGGGCGAGGTGAAGAGAGAAAAAAAATGGCAACGGTGGGGATGAAATTTCTGCAGCATCGAGAGAAAGAGAGAGAGAGAGAGAGAGAGAGAGAGAGAGAGAGAGAGAGAGAGAGAGAGAGAGAGAGAGAGAGAGAGCCAATTCGAGAGACCCTCGAGGCTCGCGTTCGCGAGCGCGCGGAAGCGAACAAGTCCCACGTGGAGACCGTCCCGGAGTGCGGCGATTGTGCGAGCGCGCGGAGCTGGCATTATTGATAACTAATTAATGAGCAAGCGACGCAACGTAATATCCCGATGCCCCGGCGTCGTTGGAATATTGATACGAGTCGCGCGCAGTTCCGTAAAATATTTCATGGCCTCCTCATTGCCAAGGACGCCCGAAGACAGCCTGGCCGCGCGGCAGTGGCGGAAGCGCCTTCCATATTTCAAGACGCACACGCCTGGAAGAGTGGAGGCAGGCCATAACCGTGTTGTCAAAGTTTCATGCTTGCACCCGTATGATATTCGGCCGTTCCACGGCGATAAAAACTTCGGCGTGCCAAGCGTGCCTGTGTTTGCGCGCGCGTCGCCGATAAATCGGCGACGCCCCGACGCGACTTTTGGCCGCGTTCGAATTTCCTTAGCCGCGCGCGGACTTAGCCGGGGGGGGGGGGGGGGCCCGCGGCCAATTAGTTCCTATAAACGGCGTATACACGCTCGTAAAAGCGCAACGACCGGATACAGCCGGGCGGGATATGCGAGACGACACAGTACGCCAGAGCGGAGAGCGCGAGCGGTGAAATAAATCCGCGCCGTTTGCGTGTACGAATCGATAGACCGAAGGTCGTTGTAGCCCCGGCCGCTTTGATGCTCAAGCGATGCTCATAGTTTCGGAAAGTATCTCACGCCGCATCTGCGTTTCACTGTCAAGGACGGTCAAAAGCGCGCACGCGAGCGCAATTATCGTCGCGCGGGATCAACGGCCCCGCCCGTATGTAAGTTAATTTGCTGGAGAACAATTGGCGGGAACAAGAGCCGTGGGCGCGCGCGCGCGCGCGCGCGCGTAATGGAAGTCCAAACCGCGCGGACGTCGAGAGGGCCACGGACGGTTTTCGTGAATTAAGCTGCAAAAATGGAGGCGGCGAAATAATACAGCGCTGCCTGGCAGCGCGCTAAGTGCACTCGGCCGTGGCGAGAAGATGCTCCCCCCGGCAAGATGCTTGGATGATATTTCAAAAAGGATTAAACGTCACGCGTGGCGAATGACGGTCTTCTCGCCGAAAAGCCGAGTTTACACGGCCCAACACACCTCGCGAGTCGCGCGGCGGCGTGCTCGCGTCCTCGCACCTATATTCTCTCCGTGCGTTTCACTCAGGATTACACGCCTCTTCCAGCGTAACTACGCTCACCTGCTCGCCTATCGACCGCGCGCGCGCGCATTCTTATTGTTCTATCCTCCGCACGGTGTAAAAATACGCGCCGCTGCAGTTTATTGCCTCTGACGAGCTGCGCGCTGGCGATCGCCGCGCGCCGGGGAAACTAATTACCGAGGGAAGCGACCGACATGCCGCTGTCCGACGGAAGATCGCGCGGTGCTGATCAAGCGCTCACTGATAAGCCCGTCGAGCCCGACGGACCCACGAAACCCGAGCGCCAGAGCAGGAATCGCTCGGCGATTCTTTATCGTTCTTCCGAGCCGACGGATTATACGCACTCGACTCGTTTCATCGCGACAATCTCCGGCACGCACGGGAAGTTCCGTGTTGAGCCGTGCTTAGGGGAAAACTTTCTTAATTTACGCTCGTCGATATCCCCAAGGCCGGTGTATTTCCCCGACGCGCTGCACGCTGCTCACGGTCCCGGAAAGTGCTCCTTGGCGAACGCACTCCATTGCCAAGGCCGCTCAAAGGCTGCGTCGCGCACTCGGCCGCCTCTCTCTCTCTCTCTCTCTCTCTCTCTCTCTCGCTGGCGCTTTTAAAATAAGAAGACGAACGGCACCCTCTTAGCGCACGGCGTACACACGCATACACCGGCGGCTCTTTGTAGCGCTTTTTTGCGCGCGCGAGAGAAAGAGCCGCCGGGGGAGATCGACTGGTGTTTGTCGCATAAATAAAAATCTCCAGTATCGAGAAGCTTCCACGTGATTTATATCGCGAGCGGGAACGTGTTTCTCGTCCACGTGAAATCTCTCCGCTCGCTCGTCGACTCGTTATTGCAACGTCGGACGAGCGCTTCCGACAGAAGAGCTTTCTGAATCCACCGACTCGCGTCGGGGACAACGTCGGGACGCGCAATTCAGCCGGGTGCACTCGCCCGGAAGTATTCTCGATCGCGAGCCGGTGCTCTAACGTATGCGCGATTAACATCGCAGTCCCTCATCGCCGCTCGCTCGCGTCACTGCCAAGGCCGCTCGAAGGCCCGGCGCGCAAACCGGCAGTCGGCTTTTCCAGCACATTTATTCACCCCGCGCGAAGATCAACGACCCTGCCGCTCGCGTCGGGGTTGGAACGTGGAGAGGCGTCGCTACGATGCTACGAAGCTCGCCGTCATCCTGACAAGAGCCCGCATCTCTTCTCGGATCACCGTACGAACATTGTTGGAAGTTCCAATTTCAAAGCTCCAGCTATAGCTCGCTGTGCATTTCTTCGGAATGACGCTCGAACTTTCGCGCTCCCAGCGACGAGGGGAGACCCTCGTCCCGAGGAGGGCCGAAAGTTTAATCGAAATTGCATCGGCCGCCCCCGAAGAGCGCGTGACAATCCTGGGATCCACCGTTCGTCGCGTCGAGAGAGAGAGAGAGAGAGAGAGTTGAAAAATTCGTCTGCCTTCTCCTGGAAACCGCGCGACAGTGGTCCGCGAGTTACTCCAAACTTTTGCAGTTTAAGCAGCGCGCAATAATTTCAAGAGACGGATTCCCCGCAAGTCTCGACACACGCGGCCGAGGCGGGCAGACGAGGAAGGAACGGCGGAGTTAGCAGCTGTGCCCACTGCCACTTTTAACTACGACTTTTACGACTTGGCCGTCGTAATCCGGTTACGTGTACGTGTGTGTGTGTGTGTGGTGTGTGTGTGTGTGTATGTAACCGGTGAGAAATAGACGGGCGACATATCGCGTGCTCCGGAGACGATTCTCTGCCTTCTTTTTGTCTTTGCCGATAAATATCTTTCAGCGGCGTCGCTGGCGAGCTCGGGAAGCCAAGGGCTCTTCCGCGGTTTGCACGGAAGGCGACACGACGCTTTTTCCAACCGTTTCCAGCGGAGGGACGAATGACGGATTCCAAGCGTGTCGGGCGATTAAACGTCGACTCCGACGCGCGCGATACAAATTTTCAGACGAGATTACTCTCGCTCGGTTTATCGTCGTGGATGTTTCTCGTCGAGTGAACGCGACGACGCCGCGCGAGTACGCGGCGGAGACTGCATTAGAAAGCAAAACCTCAGCGTCATCGTGAGATTTATATTATTTATGTTGCGTTTTTTCTCGCTGTTCCGCTTGTCCCACTTTTTGCGCTCCCAAATTCGTCCATGCGGCGTATGCGCACTCGGAGATCTCGCTGTTGGAATCGCTGCATCCTTCGCTAAGCGTTTCCGTGTATTCCGTGTTATGAGCGTCAATCTCTCGCGCTCCTTGCGTTAGTAACGAGCGCAGCTTCGCTCGCTCGAGCGCGAGCTCGTTTGACAGTTTGACGGTGTTTCATAAATCATACGGCGTTTCATTCGGTCCGTACGCACAAGTTCGTAATAATCCTTTAAGCGACTCTGCGTCGCGAGCATTTATCCTGCAACATTTGTACAATGAATGTACTCGCTATTTCGAGCGGAGCTACGAAGCCGAGCAAAGCGGCTGCGAAAGCCGAGCGATCTAGAGACAAGGCTCTCTTTCTGCCACTCCAATTCTCGAGTTCACCGGCGAAAATCGATCAACACACTCACGTTTGTGGGGGCAAGAGGCACGAAAGCGCGATTCGTATTAAAATTAAATAACAATCGCAGCCGCTGCTGGGCTATAACGAGGAAATGAAAAGCCAGCGCTCGAACAGCGCAAAAACGAAGATCAGAGAACGAGAGCGAACTCTCGAGCGAGTTGGCAATAGAGAGTTTAAGCGCAAATTCAATTCGGTGGGCGATTCGATCCGCCGGTTGTCACGCGCGAAAAACAAATCGCTTCGAGTCTCCTCGACACCTCGCGCCGGGGATAAAGTCACGTTCGTGCACACCAGGCGCATTTCAGCCGCGCGAGGGTTAATCGCTCTCGAGCGCTCTCTCCTCCGTGTGTACGCCGGCGATATTTCTAGCCTCGAGGCCGACGCACCGTGGCCCAGTTTAACGCCTCTACGCGATGCCGACCTACATCGACCGTATGCGTATTTACGTACATACGTACGACGAAACGACGGTCGAGGCTTTTTCTCCCATGCGCGGAAACGCCCGCGAGATAAGACGCGCGCGTGCTGCAACGCGGCCGAAATGCCGCGCGTGAAATAACGATTCCGCTTGGTTTATCGAATTTTTCCCCCTTTCCTTCCCATCCCCTTTTCTCTCTCTCTCTCTCTCTCCCTCTGCCATTTTCTCTTTTTTTTCCTTCGCTGCATCCGTCGCGAGAAATCGTAGCGCGAAATTCGCTGTTAGTTATCTCGGTCGCCGCTTGCTTCGAGGCTTTTCCGGCTGATGGCGTCGAGTTTGTCTGGTTAATTTGATGAAGAGGTTTTCAGAGTCGAGACAAATCCAGAGTGACTCGCCGTGGGTCGGGAGGAAGCAACGATTTTCTCCGATTTTCGTACGTGAGAGAGGCTAGATCGTGCCTGGAAAATTGAATGTCGCGGATACCGTGCACTTCGTGCTCCGCCAGCTCCGGCGGCAGTTCGAGCCGTTAGCGGCTTAATCATTCTCCATACGTCTACGGCTGCTGTTTGCGGCTTTGCCGAGTAACTTGTAATTTAATTTGCTCGCGCCTAAATTCTTCGCC